TATATATATATATATATATATATATATATATATATATATATATATATATACTAGTCATAATCTGTGTCTGAAGACACAATAGAACATAAAATTCGAACCCCCAAAAAAATAATCTTACTATATTAGATAATAATTTTTTCTTTCCTTCATTTATTTGATTACAACATTCAAAATTTATTTTTATCCATTATTTTTTTAAAAATATTAACAAAATTTTTTCAACATATGTATATTATTGTGTATGGATAATGTCTGAAATAAAAATTGCATTAAACTACAAAATAATCAAATATTAAATGATTGAACATATGATAGAAATGAGTGATATGATAGTTTTGGCAGGAAATATGTATATGAGATAAAATTGAACTTCCTATGTTTTTTATTATGTAGATTATACAAAAGTTGCTCACCTTTTCCAAGAACAGTTATATATATATAACCTGTGTCAAAAAATCGATTTCATTATATTGATTAATAATTTTTCTTTCTTTCCTTTATTTGATTACATCATTTAAAATTTAATTTTACCCATTATTTTCTTTAAAAAATCAACAAATTTTTTTCAAAATACATAATAGGACAAAATTTTTTCAACATATGTACATTATCATATATGCACAATGTCTATCATAAAAATTGTGTTAAATTACAAATGAATCAAACACTAAATGATATGTGATAAAAATGGATGATATGATATTTTTTAGGGGAAAAATACGTTGAGATAAAATTTTAAACACCTAACTAACTTATTATATATATATATAAACAATCAATTTCTTAAGAAAGGTGCTGGAGAAGTCTTCTTTTCTATTTTTCTAATTTTTAAAAATTTTGAATTATGAAATTCTTCATTATTCAGGCATATTCTATCAAATGCCTCCAATAACTACTCATAAACTTCCTCTAACCACCATTTATTTTAATTTTTTTTTAAGCATTAAATTTTGTAATCCAATAATTACTATAATATTTTTGCTCACTTTAACACAGAGTAAAATGGGAAGAAAGAGATTAACAGGAGAAGGGGATGATCCATACATCGCACGGGGTCGGATGCTAATAATACATAAATAAATCATGAAAACTTCGTCTACATTATAATTATGATCATTAGATTATCAATGTGCTGTACCTGGGATTTAGGTCAAGAAATCATGCATTTGTGCACTTTGTATGCTTCTTCCTCACCAACTCCAACTTTCAGTAATGCCATTAATGCTATGCTTATTGTGGCATATATTTCAGACATTATAATACTCTTGGGACCCCAGATTATCAGTTTTTTTTCTTCATAATTCATCAGTTTAATGATTATCCTAATAAATATCATGTCAATTTCCATAACTCTGGGGGAGATACTGTATTAAACAACGACATGGTAATTGTGTTGAACTTGGGAACAAGTGAAAGGAAAAAACAGACCACATGTGAGAGAGATATAGATGGCAATGCAAGGCATAGCATATGGAAGGTTCATGTGGTTTTTGTCAAAGTTTGTTCAATCTACATTTGATAAATTTATTTATAATCATTTGCAACTGGATTCATGCCGTGCATAACTGTGTTTAACCAGATTCAACTAGGTTCGTATCATATTTAACCAAATTTAGATAAAAAAATTTATTTGACTGGTCTGACAGGTCTCTTTATTCAACTATTGATTTTATGTTAAATTTACGATTCATGTTTAGAATTGTCAATTTTATTAAAAACTTTGCATACGATTTTCTTACTATCTATTGCAGAAAATTTTTTAACGATGTGGGTATAGCTTTGTGTCAGCTGAGAGCTCATATGATCCAATAAAAAGTGTGATCTATAAAACTTATGCTCCATTTTGGTACGAAAGAGAAAATGAAAGGATAAAAAATTTGAGGGATAAATAAAATTTTATGTTTGGTAAGAAAAGAAAATAGGAAAGATGGAAAAGTGGATAGATTAACTTTTCTTCTAACTCACCAAAATCAATCTCTCCAAAATCAAAAAGAAAATGGATGAAAAGTTAATTATTTGTGTTGAGATATATCTTATTTGTCTATATATTATGTATATATTAATTTCATATAAAAAAACAATAATAAAAAAAAAATATATATATATATATATATATATTCAAAAAAATAAAATTAAAATTTTAAATTAAAAAAAATATTTGTTTCATCTTAACTGAGAGTGAAAATTCTCGACTCAACACGATGATACGACTCGAACTTGACACGAATTTTATGACACGAACTGAAAAATGACCTAACACGCGAACAAAAAATATAAAAGACTCGTAATTTTATGACTCAACACGAATCTGATACGACACGATTCAATTGTCACCCCTAATCTTAATCAACACAAAAAATTAAGAAAAAAATAATTTTTTTTATTTTTCATCCATCCAACCAAACACAAAGAAAAGAAAGTGTATCATTTCTACTTTCTATACTTAAATGATAGAAAGTGTATTCGTCCTACTTTTCATCCGTTATATTTTTCATCTTTCCTACCAAATAGAGCATTAGTGCTAGCTCGTATTGTTAAAAATAATTTTGTCCAAAATTAGAAACGTTGAATGCATGCCAGTGTCGGTCCAATATCTTAAAGCCATGGGTTCCAAGCTAAGGACAACTATTTGGTGTAAATTTTATTGTAGGTCAAGGGCATCCAATCTATCATTCCAGGCCTCCATTAACAAGAAGAAAGTGGATGTATATATGTGTGTGTGTATATATATATGATTAGTAATAATCTTGTATTTGAAGACACTATATAATTAAGGATCAAAATTTCGTTTCAAAATGATCAATACATTCAAAACGTTTCTGTTTTCAAGAAAACCAAAACAAATCGGTGATAAAATCGAAATTCTAATATTTCGAAGTGTTTCAAGATATTTTGTAATGTTTCAACATGTTTGCACAATTGTTTCAAAATGTTTCAAGATATTTTAGTATATTTTGACAAATATTTTGAAAACAATAATTTTTTTATTTTATTTATGAAATGGGTCGAAACTATTACACCCTAACCCCGAACATAGTACTTATTATCTATTGCAGGAGGGTGAACCCCATAATTAAAGCAATAACTTGTGACCTTGAGCATGATAACTGATAAACTCATAATACAATTGTCATCAATTTTGTCTCAAGAGAACAAGAGGTTTATAGCTTGTTTCAAAACACTTTTTTTTTTTTTTTGGAGGGGGATGGGAAAAGGGAAGAGAACTTAAACTCTTAATCTCAATAAGACAAAGTTTTCACAAGGTAAAAAGTATCATTAGACCAAAAATTCATTGATTTGTTTTAAAACGTATCATTAGACCAAAAATTCATTGATTTGTTTTAAAACGCATCAACTCCCCTAATTCTTTTTTTCTTTAACCGGTTTATGCCAAAAGGACTCTTAAATACCCACCCAACACAACGGCTGGAGAATATTTATGAAGTCGGGTGTCCTATTGACTCGTCACTTTTTTCCCTATTCACACTAAGGTCCCCCATTGTTTCTTTTATTCTTACATTTAACACCCAAAATTTCCACGCACTTCTGAAATCTCATCTAGATGCTCTACTATCTTGTAATTAATAAAATTATTTAATTAAATGCATACTCAACTTTTTAGGATTTAATTATCATGATTTTAATCCCATGCAAACATTAATAAGTTATACTTTAACCTACAATATTTATGAAATGTAATATACATGTTCAGGTCTTACAGAACTTTTTCGTTTCTTAGGTGATTAAAATAATGCACCAAATTAAAATTTTGATTCTTATAAATAATATTAAAAATTAAGCTGATCTTGTAATATTTGTATTTTAAATCATAATTTAATTTTTTTTATAACAAAA